CCTCATCATCCTTCCTATTGGCCATCCTCATCATCCTTCCTATTGGCCATCCTCATCATCCTTCCTATTGGCCATCCTCATCATCCTTCCTATTGATGCAGCCACCGTGCCGACCCTTCTCCTTGAAGTCCTTCCTCTTTGGCGTTGCCCCTCCACTTTACCAACCGTGATGGCCTTCTCCAGGGATTAAGCTCTCCTGACAACATGTCCAAAGAATGTAAGAAGAAGTCTCGCCATCCTTGTCTCTAAGAAGCGCTCTGGCCATACTTCTTCCAACACAGATCAGTGTGTCCTTTAGCAGCCCATGGTATTTTCAACACTCTTCTCCAGTCCCTCAATTCAAATGCATAGATTCTTCGACTGTCTTCCTTACTCAGTGTCAAACTTATAGATATGTCAAGTTGTATATATGTCAAACTTATATATACATCAAGTTTTATATCTATATCAAACACATCTATAAGTCAAACAGATATATATTTAGATATAATATATACTAAATAGTTCATAAAACACAATGCATTAACTGGTTCCATTCATCATAGCTGCCATTTTGTTCCAGGAGTCCTGGTGGGCTCATGGTTACCAATTGGACTGCTAAGTGGTGCAAGGGCAGCAGTTCGAAACCACCAGCCTCTCTGAGGTAGAAAGACAGGGCTTTCTACTCTCATGGAGAGCTACAGTTCCAGAACCTCACAGGGGCAGTTCGACCCTGTCCTAGAGGGTCACCGTGAATCATCGCCTGGACGGCAGTGAGTTTGATTTTTTTCTTTTTGTGGGGGGTGCCATTTTGATCAGTGGACCACATGCTGCATTCGGCACCCCCCACCATGGGCACCCGCCTTCCTTCAGATGAGGGAAAGCAGGCTCAGAGAAGTGAGAAGGGACAACTCAAGTCTGTTGGAAACCAACCGATGCCACTTCTGTTGTGAGGGGATTGGGATCCCATTCAACAGTCACGGACTCTAGGACAGGGGGGAGAGGCTCCCCACAAGCTCAGGCAGGCCTGAGATTGTCCCCCCCACCACCACCAACTATCCTCACCCACTCATTCTACAAACATGGTGAAGTCCACCCGCCGAGCGCCAGGCATTATTACACTGGGCACTGGAAATGCGGCGATGAAAGGGAGGGAGACCACTGCCGAAGGGGTGGGAAGACAGGTCTTAAGCACACAAGCCCGTGGAAAACCACATAATTACAAATCACCCTAAAGAAGGGAACAAACAGGGTGTTTTCATGAGAGGAAAGCTAGAAGGACTCTTTTAGGAGACGAAATTCAAGTTAAGGCTTGAAAGAAAAAGGGAGTCAAGTGAAAAAGGAGAAATGGAAAGATGAGGGCCCAGTCGGGAACCATCTCAAATGCTCTAAGAGAAGCAAGTTACCTGTTTGTTCACTGGAGGGCAGAGGGTAATGGGTTAGGTCAAGAGAGGGCAGGCCCCGTTTATCTGGGGCTGCCAATGCTAGTCTGAGACACTTGGGCTTTATCTGAAGGGCAAGTGGAGCCATAAAAGAGCTCTGAGCAAGGGAGTGATGACTCTGATTTAGTTCACAAATAGTGTGTGCCTGTGGAGCCCTGGTGGTGTAGTGGTGAGCCATTGTGCTGCAATCCGCATGGTTGCCAGTTCAAAACCACCAGCAACTCTGCGGGAGAAAGTCTGGGCTTTCAACTCCCGTAAACAGTTACAGCCTCAGAATCTCACAAGAATCCCTAAGAATCCCACAATGCTATGAGTCAGCATTGACTCGATGGCAGTGAGTGCGTTCAGCGCATGCCTGGTGGTGCTGTTGGGTAAGCATCAGACTGCTGACTTCAAGACTGGCAGTTCAAATCCACCAGCTGCTCCTTGGGGGAAATATGAGAGACTCTCTGCTCCGAGTCTCGGAAACCTTTCTAGGGTCAATGTGAGTTGGAGTTTGATTGTACCTGGACAAGATAAAAGTTGCTTGTATCGGAGCAAGATAAAGACCCAGTGTGGTCATTCTAGGGCTGTGTTATCTAACACAGTGGCCATTAGCTCCAGGTGGCTAATTAAATTTAAATGGGTGAAAATAAAATAAATTAAAAAATCCATTTCGCTGCCACCAAGTCAATACTGACTCACAGCGACCCTATAAGGTAGAACTGCCTTGTGCATTCCTGAGACTGTAACTCTTTATTTTTTTCCTTTTTAAAATTTTATTATTTTATTGAGGGCTTGTACAATTCCCATCACAGTCCATCCATCCATCCATTGCGTCAAGCACATATGTACATTTGTTGCCCTCATCAATCTTAAAACACCTGCCTTCCACTTTAGCCCTTAATATCATTTGCTCATTTTCGAGACTGTAACTCTTTACGGAAGTAGAAAGCCCAGACTTTCTCCCGCAGAGCTGCTGGTGGTTTTGAACTACTGACCATGCAGATCGTAGCCCAGTGGCTAACCACTACACCACCAGCGCTCCACACGCTAGGCATTTGGTCAATATTTGTGAACTAAATCAGAGTCATCACTCCCTTGCTCAAGAATGCCCTGTCTTGCACCCACGGAGTTTCGAATTGCTGACTTCATGGACCAGGGCTCCTTCAAACCCCAAACCCCAAACTCAAATTCACTGCCCTGGAGTCAATGTCAACTCATAACGACCTATGATGGAGCAGGGCAGGGCTGCCCCTGTGGTTTTCCCAGTCTGCAACTCTCTCTGAGAGTAGAAAGCCCGCCTCTCTCCTGTGGAGCTGGCTGGTGTTTCCAAATGGCTGGCTTTGCAGTTAGCAGCTCAACCTGTAACCACGACAGGGCTTCTGGGCACTGTATAGAACCCCAAACTTAAAAGCAAAACCCACTGCCATTGCGTCCATTCCGACTCACAGCCGCCCTAGGGGAGAGGGGGGAACGGCCCCTGTGGGTTTCTGAGACTGTAAGGAGGGGACCCTCATCTCTCCCGAGGACAGCACGGGCACAGAACGCTTTCATCTCTGAAGAAAGTTTCATGGGTCCATGCTACTGGGGGTTGGGGAGGTGGGGTAGAGGCAGCACATAACTGGGATGTCTGTAATGATCAGTTCTCTGGTGGCACAGAAAGCAGAGGAGGGAGATAGGGATCATGGGCTTCCTGTTGGGCTGCTGTGAGATCAGTGGTTCGAAACCACCATCCACTCTGAGGGAGAAAGGTGGGGCTTTCTACTCCTGTAAAGAGTGACCGTCTCAAAAACACTCACAGGGGCTGTTCCGCCCTGTCCTACAGGGTGTCTGTGGGGCGGTATCAGTTCAATGGCAGTGAGTTTAGCTTTGGCGTTTCGTCAGGATGAGGATTTGCATTTTCTTCTTCTTCTTTTTTTTATTATAAATCATCCTATTGGGGGCTCATACAACTCTTATCACAATCCATCCATCCATCCATCCACTGTGTCAAGCACATGTGCACATTTGTTGCCATCATCATTTTCAAAACATTTGCTTTCTACTTGAGCCCTTGGGATCAGCTCTTCATTTTCCCCCTCCCTCTCCCTCCCTCCCTCATGAACCCTTGATAATTTATGAATTATTTTTCCATGTCTTTCACTGTCCAATGTCTCCCTTTACCCCCTTATCTGTTGTCCATCCCCCTGGGAGGGGGTTATGGGTAATTCATTGTGATCAGTTCCCCCTTTCTCACCCCACCTTCCCCTTACCATCCTGGTATGGCTACTCTCAATATTGGTCCCGAGGAGTTCATCTGTCCTGGATTCCCTGTGTTTCCAGCTCTTTTCTGTACCCGTGTACATGCTCTGGTCTAGCCAGATTTGTAAGGTAGAATGAACGTATTTGCATTTTCATTGAATGGCCTGGGAAGGCATCACCAAGGAAGTGACCTTTTCAGGAGACTCAGGAGTGAGCCACGCAGGAATCAGGAGGAAAGTACCCTCTTCAGGATGCTCCGCGAGTGCAAAGCCTCTGAAGGGTGCAGTGTTCAAGGAAAGTCCAAGGGCCCTGTGTGGGCTGGACCAGAAAGAGAAGCGTGGGAGGAGATGGGACCTGGGGGATGCTGGGAGCAAACGCTTCAAAACCTTGTAGGCTGCGGTGAGCACACTGGCTTTCACTCTGAGTAAAATGGGAGCCATGGGAGTGGTCTGAGCAGAGGAAGGACAGGGCCCACTAGTGTGGTTTTAAATGATCTCCGGCTACTGCGGGGCAAGTAGATTAGAGGAGCACAGAGGCAAATGTAGAGCATGCACTGCAGAGATATGATGGCTGCGGGTCAGGTGAGAAACGAAGGGGGCTCCGATCAAGAGGGTAGACATGGAAGGGGTGAGGAATGCCCAGGTTCTGGATCTTCTGTGAAAGAAAAGCAAAAGTTACATCTGGACAGGTTGGGCATGGGGCATGACATCAGGAGCGTCCAGAATGGTCCCTGGGTGGCCCTACTGGTCCTTGTAATCCTGGTCTCAACGTCTGCGGGATGCCAGAGTTGAGCACAGGGGCTCTTCCAATCTGGCCTGGAAGTTTGTTCAGCTCCTGAGTATAATAAACAAGGGCTCGGCAAAAATAATAATAACAATAATCCTAAGGACAAAGAGTATAGAGCCTCGCTGAGATGAAAGAAGCCAATATATAGAAACCAAAGCCGACATATCCGTGATTGTGAGAGATGGATGGAAATGGGGGAAAGGAGGTCTGCTTAGGGAACATTGAGTTTATGTTCATGATGGTGCAATGATTTGGAAAAGGGTAGCGGGCACGGTTGCACAAAAGGGGACAAATAACAGACACGTGGGTGAAGGGAGACAACAGACGGTCTATGATATGAAATAATACCAATATATAATTGATCAAGGATTCACGGGGGTGGGAGGGTGGGGATGGGGAGAGGGAAAAAGAGCAGCTTATACCAAGGGCTCCAGTAGAAAATATTTTGGAAATGATGATGGCAACCTAGGTACGAATATGCTGGATACAATTGATGTATGGAACGTTGTAAGAGCTGTAAGAGCCCCCAGTTAAAAAAAAGAAAGAATGGTTACACAACCTGAAAAATGTAATCCATGTCATTGAATTGGACAAATGGGATTGGTTGAGGTGGTTCATATGAAAAAAGAATTTAAGATCATCCATAATATAATAATAGGGAAAGAAAGTTTGGAAACTGATTGTGGTGGCAACTGTACCATACTGCTCGATGTGCTTGAACTATGGAGTGATATGATACCTGTATTCACTCCCAATAAAAAGGTTTTTTTTTTAATCATTTTATTAGGGGCTCATGCAACTCTTATCATAATCCATACATACATCAATTGTGTAAAGCGCATTTGTACATTTATTGCCCTCATCATTCTCAAAACATTTTCTCTCCACTTAAGCCTCTGGTATCAGGTCCCCATTTTTCCCCTCCCTCCCCGCTCCCCCCTCCCT